GGGGTGGGGGTGGGGGGGGCTCCCTGTTACCCTCAAGCTCCGAACGTCATCGGAACGTAAGCGCGAGGTATGAGTCATGCTCCTCGCGTAAAAAGAAAGCAATAGGGAACTAGACGAAATGCCATCTGATAAAAATTATATTGCATGTGGTTTGAAAATTAAAGATGTTAAACAGGCGAGCATTTAATTTTCCAATAGGTGTTTTTTCTAAATAGGACAATTTTCCAAAATGTCAGAAAACGAGATGCATAAGCAACCTTTACACAAAGTTTTAAAATCCGCACTGATTTTGAAGGAAATGAGAAAAACATTCAAATTATTCTTAAATATGGAATGATCAATTCATATGCACCTGTTGCACTCACCGATTGCATCATACGCTGCAAAGCAAAATAAAACAATAATTTAGTAATTTATCTGGAACATAATCAAAAAACTCAAACTCCTTTTTTAATAACACATAAACGCAGCTATAAACGACGACACTGTATTCTAAAACAACTACACAACAATAAATTAAACTAGCCAAAGAATAAGACTCATGTTGTATACTTGAACATCAATCCCGGCTAGCCGGGTTAACGAAAATCATTACTTATACTTCAGAAAACAATGATTCATTCAACTAGGCGTCCCCACAATTCTTTTCTCAATGACTCATACGTACCACTATTTCCGAAACGCTCACGCAACACACAGCAGCCCAAATCACTTCACACACACCCGACGTCAAAACACCACTCGCTGTTCGAGCCGCATCCAGCCTCGAACAAGTTGGAACTTGCTTTCCCGGGTCTCGCTCTGCGAGGCTGTCACAATCCAGAGGAACACGTGGAGTCTCCAAGAACTTCAAGACATCGCTACCAGATGGCAGGAGAAATAAATAGGAGAGGGTGGGAGCTGGGAGGCATGCAGAGGCAAGAGCGCTCACCGGAGAGTATATTTCCCGTATTTCCCTCACGATCTTGCGCAGAGGCAGGAATGTGAGTAGTCTCCATCCCACAATGAAGTAAATGCGATTGAAGTTGAATCGAAATAATTATATTTGGTAAACTTGCTAATAGTATTGTAGGATGAACATATTATATATATATATA